TATATATATATATATATATATATATATATATATATATACAATTGTTTACACATTTTATAAATATAAAACTTAGTTCTTACTATCCCAATTTTGTTTTCTTACTTTGTTAAATTCAGTTTCTGCTGCAAAATAATAATTTAGTAAATCTTTTATTACAGTTCTGAATAGGAATGTGATTTTTGACCAGGAAGAATCCTATTTTAGTGATGTAAAAATGGAACAATAGAGAGGAGAGTGCTTTTTATAAATGTTGAAACAGGCTGTCATAGGTGACTGCATAGAAACTTCCGCAGATACTCAAGCAGCGATCTTTACCTTCGCCATCTTCCTCTCCTTGCAGCTGTAGCACTGTTGCTCGATCTTTTAATTGCTTTCTCAAATTATAATTTTTTTTAATTTCTTCATTAAAATTGGCACTTCCTGATGCCTGCTAATTTCCCTCTGGGATTATTAAAGTATGTTTGATTCTGATTCTGTAGGTCCAATCTAAACAATGCCTTACACTGCAGAGGTTTACAGTGAAACACCATTAGCATGAAGTGGACATGGCAGTTATGGATCAGTTATCTGCAGGGTAATGAAGGAAGCATAGTTTTAGGCTGTGTGGGAAGGGAGAAGCCTGCTGACTGTGTCTCATTTATCTGCTCTGTTGGTCCCCCGCGATCACTCCCATGTTTTTTCAGGCCGAATCAAAAGGGCCGCGCTCCACCTAGCAGCTCAATTTCAGACATCTGCTTTGACATGCATTCAGCTATTCGGAGAACTGGCTATTCGTTGAGTGCAAATGTCAGTACTTTTCCTCTTTGTTTTGATGGTTTGTGTGTGTGTGCATGGAAGCCTAAGTATGCTAACTTGGGATCAAGTCAGGGTACACGGCCAGAAGGTTCCAAAATATGAGCTTAAGGCACCATATTGTATTCAGCAGATAAGTATGTTTTGGGAAATTTTCTACACTTTAGAATTGAAGTTCATATTTTCTTTAGCTAAACATCTGCAAGAACAACAACTGGTGCCTTTAACAGGCTTGTAAATGCAGTTTTAGACTTCTTCATTCTTGCCAACAAAAGCTTCACTCAAATAATCATCAGCCATGTATCTTCATCAGACCCATTTATCTGCTGTCTGTCCCAGTGTCGTTCTGGTGATTCTGACTCCTTCCCACCTGTTTTTGGTTGTTCTTATAGCTCAGCTTCTTCTTGCTGCAGTACTTGTGATATTTGCAATTCTTAATGTCTGTTTATAACCTACATAGTTAAAGAAAATGTCTTTTTTTTTCCAGACACAGAATCAGTTCTGCTTTGTAGCAAAGTTAAACTTAATGTTTTTAAGACGTAAACTCCACTATATAACCTCTGATTTTATATCTGGGAAAAAGTTCTGGGCGGTTTTCGGTTTCACAGCCCAAAGAAATTCCACTTTGACCATAAAATAGACGCTTAGGTGCATAATATTAGCAACAATGATGTAAACAGATTCTCCTACCTAAGCTGTTGATCCTTGTGGCTTCTCCAGAAATGAATATACTGTTTCTCAAAAAAAACCTTCCTAACTATTCTAATGCTGAAACAATCAGATAAATCTATTATTGAAATAATCATCAATCAATCATCATCAATAATTTAGTAATCAATCCATTGTTAACTGCAGTATAGAGACTATAAATCATGCCTTTAGCTAACAGAGAAGCCTAGTTAGAGCGGTGACCATACCAAAAGTGTAAAAATTATATTTTGCATTTTGCAGCAATATTCTCTATCCAGAACTCTTCAATTGGAAAAGTTTTGGTTTCACCTGGTTTAATTTCCTTTAAAATTCTTCTATAAGGAACTTTTGGCTATTTGATTGTTAGTGGATTAAATGAAAAAATAATGAACAGATTAATTGATTGGCAAAATAATTGTTAGTTGCAGCCCTAAAATATTTAAATGGTCTCTGGAGGTACTTGGAAAAAAAACATGAAAGCTTCCAGTTGCAAGACTTTCTGCTTACCCTACGTTTGCTGCTTCATATTCACTTTAGGTTATTTTATCAACTAGCACTGGAGAACTGGAACCTCCCAGCAGCTACAGTAAATCTCTGCTTGGGTCTCTGATGTTTGACTGAAATAATGAGCCTGAAAAACGATGTGTTTTGAATATTCAAAGAGGACCCCACTAGATGTAGGATGACAGAGGCACCTGAACTAAAATGTCGGGAATGAATTATGCAAAGTATTAATTTTTTAGAAAGTGCTTATTTACTGTAAAAAAATCAAAATCTGCTTGGATGGAATGTTGACATAAAAAAATGTGAAATATATTAGCCTGCTGGAGATATATTGGCCAGCCTGATTTAAGGCCTGATTATTTTTTCTAACCATATCCAAACATACAGTTTTTGGAGAGTAGAAAACAACACAGCACTGACTTGCATGCAGATTGAAGCTTTGCTTCCTGTGCCCAGTAAAATATTTCGGTTCACCTTTTCCTTTTGACACATCTCCAAAATATTTGCTGTTCAAGCAATTTGTTTTCTGTTGTATCCTAATTTACTCTTTTTACTTTTTGTGGCATTAGAATATAAGAATATCTTTCATTATTGTTTTGTCAAACTATCCCAGCCAGAATGAACACTGTGATCGCTTCCTTTCTGTTTATTAGGGAAGGAATCGTATCTCCTGGTGTTGCATTGAATCTAATGTTGATAATCTAAAACGGATTTGAAATAAATATTGGTTAGTTTTTTACCTGGTTCAGTTCAAGTTTTAGAATGAGGTTCTTATTATAATTGACAACTGCAATAAGCTTGATGCTTTGTCATTCTTTAGTCGGTAGATAAAACTGTTTTTTTTTCTTCTCTGTTTTTGCATTCGAAGACATGCTGCCAGCCTCAGTGTCAGTGGCCTGGTTTGGAAGCAAAACGTCTTCAAACTTGGAAAAAAAGTCCAGTGGATTTTCTTTTGACTTTTGTGGAATGACTGGAAATCTTCACCAGCAGAAGGAGCTATGTTTAAAAGGGTTTTTGGAAAATTAGTTGCTTAGATACAGAGATATCACAGAAAAAGAAAATAAAAATTTAGACGGAGATAGCCTGAACAGCATGCTACTCATCAGTCAGAACATGAAGTGAACACGATACATCTCAGTAGCTGCAGCAGTGGCACCCTCTAATGGCAGGCTAGATAGCTAATTTCCACTCTGTTCACTTAATTTAAAACAAGTCTTAGTGTGGCTCAAATACTCTTGTGGCCTACTTGCCCTGTGTCTGGATTAAGCTCACTTTGTTTGGTCTGGCAGCATAGACAGGGGCCAGCCAGGACCAGTACCCCTGTATACCTGGTGCTGGCTCCTATTACAGTCCCGGAACTACAAACATATACATATACTACTATTATCTCTTTGAACCCCAGTTCAAAGGCCACTCGCATCGACCCTGGTTCTGCTGGAGGTTTCTTCCTGTTAAATGGGGTTTTTCCTCTCCACTGTCGCTACAAGCATGCTTGGTGTGAGGAATCGCTGTCAATGAGTCGATGCACTCAGCTGGTTTAGATAGAAAACTTTGAACACATTATACTGTATGATCTGGTTGAATTGTCTCTGTAAAGTGCATTAAGATGCGCTATATTAGGCATCCCCAAAGTCAGTCCTGGAGGGCCGCTGTCCTGCAGGTTTTAGAACAGAGGTCATGGATTAGCTGGCTAATCCAGACCCAACCTGATTTAAAACATTTATAAATGACCACATTTTGTCTGACAACAGTGTCTAAAAATCACTTCCCGCCGCTTCTCCTCTTACCCCGAAATCCCACATCCTCCGTCACCGCTCCACCCCGCAGCGCTCCAGACCTCCTGCAAAGCAAAGCCTACAGCCTCCACTGTTCCTCCCTTATTGCTGCACTCTGACTTATCCTTGGAGCTTTAGGAGAGCATGTGCAATATTATCATTACATTCATAGGAGCAAAACATGCAGAAAAGAATTCTTAATTTAATATGACAGATTTAAAAAAAATCTCCATCAGCATTCAGCACATGTGTGGCTTCTGATGGAGATAAGAAATCTGCTTTGTGGTCTGTTGAAGTATCAATAGTTTGCATCCAATCTTTTAAATAAATATTGTTAGTTTTTCAAATATAAAACAATTATGCTCTAATTTGTAGTTAAAATATATTAAAAACAGATTGTTGTTACTATATGAACTGAACTGAAAAATTGTTGTTCTATACTTAAAAAAATCACTTTAAATTTTAAAATCACTTTAGATTTTAAAATGGAAAAATGTTCTATTTTTTAAATACCTAATTTTATTTCAGTGTTAAATTCTGTTAAAAGTAACAGCTAATTAAAAATGTCTCCTGACCGTTGCTAGTTGATGGTTTTCTTTATTTGGACCCCGCTGATTTTTAATTGGTTACCCCTGTTTAGAGGTTTCTCTGTTTTAGCACAGCTGATTCTGATGATCGCAGTTAAGCAAAACCTGTTAATCAACTATTAATGTAAATCAGCTTAACTGGAGCAGGGAAACCTCTAAAACCTGCAGGACAGCGGCCCTGGAGGACCAACTTTGGGTATGCCTGCGCTATATGAATAAACTGAATTGAATTGAATTGAAAAATTTAAATATAAGTAATTTTTCTTAAGATATCAGTATTTTCCCTTGGTTTGAGCAGGTAAGTTAGACAATTTGCCAATGGAAAAGATTATTTTAAATATATAAAAAAAACTTTCAATAATTAATTTCAAATCAGAGTTCCAATATCTGATAGTTTTGTATTTAAAAACAAAATTTCATGATAATTATCTTAAATTCCAGGAAAATAATTTTCAGTTTTTAGTGTGTAATACTTCATTTTAAAATTTTTTTTTTATTATATGCGCTAAAAGAAGAGACTAGACTTGATACATCCCTAGGACCTATTTTTATATTTCCCATTTAAAGTTACTTTAGAGCTTGCAAGAAAGAATCCCAGTTTTCATATCATAGGTCAGGAATCCTCAACCTTGGCACATAATATACACATAATATAGTAGACAATGTGTTCTTGCCCTGTTTCTTTTTATTTTTGTGTGTGTGTTTTTGTTATTCTTTTGTTGTTTCCCCATGAAGAAACACCGCCCCCTTGTAAATTTTGTCTAGTGCTGCCACTGCTTGAAGCCATAGCTTGACAGGTTTGCAGGTGTATAAAGAACAACCTTAATTTAATCAATCAAAGCATCGGATGTTGTTTTATAAACTTGCCCTGCTTTAAACTTCTCAGCAGCTTTCTTATTGAGCTGTCTGCTGTATTTCTTCAGTGACTTTTAAACAACAGTGACTCATTGCTTCAGCTTCCAGTTTTCCTATGTGTTAAAAAACTGAACCCTCATCAAGATGTCTTGACACAAGCCTTCCTTTTGTTTTAGCTGGGGTTGTAAATGCGTCATCATCAGAGAACTCAGTATGAAGAAGTCGACCCGACCGGTGACGAGTAAAATCGGGGCAGAACGAGGGAAATCTGATGCTGGTGGTGCCGGAAAGTCCTCAGCCAAAAGTGCAGCTCCTCTGAATAAGGTAAAATATGCTGTGAATATGGCTGAATTAGATTTTGTTCATTCTTTTTTGTGATAATGTTGTTTTTACCGTTTCAGGTGAAAAGCAATGATGATCTTTTAGCCACCATGGCTGGAGGGAATCCTGTCAGCAAGACCAAGAAGACCGCCTCTATTGCAAGTAGCCCAAATAACCAAGAAACCAAGCCAAAGACGACATCAGGTATCTGAGGTCCAATTCATATGAACATGATTCTGGTTGACTTTAGTTTAATTTTCACATATTTCCTCATATGTCTTTATAGGGTCTCTTTCTAAACGTACAACATCAGTATCTTCCAAAGAACCCAATTCTTCACGGGATCGTCTCCGGACATCCCGTAATTCAGCTGCTAAAAAGCAGTCAGTATCAGTGGCTACATCTGCAGATGTTACTACGGGAAAGCGCTCCCGGAGCCAGACGGTGGTGGAACCAGAGGGCCGCATGAGCAAGTCTAAGTCTGATGGTCAGATCAGTGATAAGGTTGCTTTAGAAGCCAAAGTGAAAGATTTGTTGGGTCTGGCAAAGAGCAAAGATGTGGAGATCCTCCACCTCCGCACTGAGCTGAGGGACATGAGGGCCCAGCTTGGCCTCGGGGGAAAGGAGGCTTTAGAGCAGGAGGCCGGAGACGAAGAGAAGCCCCTATTTTCAGCAATTACGGCCGCTGATGTTGAGTCCACTTTGATTCTCTTACAAGAGCAAAATCAAGCCATCAGAGAGGAGCTTAACCTGTTAAAGAGCGAGAACCGCATGTTGAAAGACCGCCTAAATGCGCTGGGCTTCTCTCTGGAGCAAAGGCTGGATAGCTCAGATAAGCAGTTCAGCTACCCCTCCTTGAGTCCGGACCTGTCAGCCAGCGGGGCACACAGTGACGGAGGCTGTACAGGTACCCTGACGTCATCAGTGGAAGGCTCTGCCCCTGGGTCTCTGGAGGACCTGCTCACGGGGCATCAGCATGGAGGTTCAGCAGACAACCTGGACAGTGAATCCAGTGAGGTCTACCAAGCTGTCACCTCCAGTGACGATGCGCTGGATGCACCCTCTGGGGCTTCCTCATCATCCGAGTCGGACTGTGCTCCAAGCACAGAGCGCTCACGAAGGGACAGCAGCGGCAATGCCAGCGAGGTGTCAGTGGCCTGTTTGACGGAGCGCATCCACCAAATGGAGGAGAACCAGCACAGCACTGCTGAGGAGCTCCAGGCCACGCTGCAGGAGCTGGCTGATCTGCAGCAAATTACCCAGGAACTAAATGGAGAGAATGAACGGCTCGGTGAGGAGAAGGTCATCCTCATGGAGTCCTTGTGCCAACAGAGTGACAAGTTAGAGCTGTATGGGAGACAGATTGAGTACCTACGCTCTCTATTGGATGAACATCATATCTCCTACGTGCTGGAGGAGGACATCAAGAGTGGGCGCTACATGGAGCTGGAGCAGCGCTACGGAGATCTGGCAGACAATGCCCGCTTTGAGAGAGAGCAGCTGCTGGGCGTGCAGCAACATCTGTCCAACACGCTGAAGATGGCTGAGCAGGATAATGCCGAGGCCCAGGAGATGATTGCAGCACTGAAGGAGAGAAACCACCAAATGGAACGCATCATTGAATCAGAAAGACAGGATCGTGCCGCCTTAGAAGCCACGTTGGACGAGTACAAGGTGGCGGTGAGCAATGACCAGGCAGAACTGAACCGCTGCAGAGCCCAGCTGGACCAGGAGAGGCAGAGGGTTGCCGAGCTGTACTCGCTGCACACTGCTGGGGACAAGAACGACATCTGCCAACTGTTGGAGGGGGTGCAGCTGGGGAAGGATGAGGCGGAAGCTAAGGCAGCAAAGATGCAGGGAGAGCTAGAACAAGTGCATGCTGAGCTCAGCCGGCTACAGGAGACTTTCACCAAGGTTAGAGGACTTGAATTTAAAGCTTAACTCACAGAGACTTTAAATTCTGTGTATATGTGCCTTTAAATTAATCAGAAAACACAGATCTAAATTGAGATGTGTTACCTAAATGGAAATGGAATATGAGGGGGTTGGCTGCAGGTGTGTCTTGGGCACACCTGGACTCAAACATCAGCAAAACTTCACTTACCTGTTTGTAATGAGGCCATATAGGTGATTCCTGTCCATAAATATGGACAATGAAGGCAGGTAGATACCCTGCTATTTGAAGGCTTATTAAAATTACTCTTAAAGCCTTGCTTCTTGGTTGCAAATATTGCAGAAAAGTATGCAGAAAAACTGCTTAATAACCATTCCTAAAACCCTTATACATAAAATATTTCTTATTTGGGTTTTGTTAGTGCTGCAGTGGGGCCAAAGGTTAGCAACTAACCAAGCCTAACCTTGTTTTATTATGGTGTGTTCAAGATAATATGCAGTGTTTCTGTATGCCTCCATGGGTGTTGGACACATCTTTGGTCTTATCTGGACAGAGCACATTCATCCATGTGTTTTCTGGGTCTGCTTTATTGCTTGGCTTATTTTTAAATGGAATTCCTTTCAAAAATGGATTCCTCCTTCAATAAAGGCCAGATTTGTACCGTCAACACATTCTCTCTACTGAGTTGTGGATATCTGACAGCATAGAAGACGTTGAACACATACATAAGTCTTATAGTTTAAAAACTGTGCATTGTTGTCCCTTAAACTCACAATTCTGCACTACTTTGTGTGAGTCCATCTTTTAAAAATCACAATAAAATACAGGAAAATGTGGAAAAAGAGGTATGAAGAGTGTTGTTAAGCTCTGTAAGATGGCAAATAAGAACCTTTGGTTCTTCTAATGAAGAATATTGCTCTCCCTGCAGCTGGACAGTGAATACAGAGATTTCCAGGAGCAGGCGCGGCAGCAGATTACAGAGCAGGAACGAGCTCTGGAGAAGCGGTGTGCGGAGCTACAGGAGAAAGAGACTGAGATAGCAGACATGAAGGAAACCATCTTTGAACTGGAAGACGAAGTAGAACAGCACCGAGCTCTAAAACTTCACGACAACTTGATCATCTCCGATCTGGAGAGTAAGTGGCTGGAAGCAGAAGGTGCTGCTGTAGTGTTAATCAAGTTTCAGGGCAGCCTCATGTCAGCCAGTAATTATTGAGAAAGTATCATCAGAAAACCAATGGGATTTTGTTTGCTCATATTCAATGTTCTAAGCCAGTCTGACTTAACTTTCTATTTTGAATGTGCTTTTTATAAAATGATAGAAAATATATCTGATGACCTTCGATGTTTTCTCTAAAGATAAATTATCCTTTTTTTTTTTTTTTTTTTTTTTAGATTCTGTGAAAAAACTGGAAGACCAGAAGCACGACATGGAGAGAGAGATAAAGACTCTTCAACGA